TCTCTGAATCTAATGATTACAGACAGCTAATAGTTTATATTTTTCAATCAATTAGGAAAATCTGATCAAGCCTGGAATAGTCAGTTCCCCAAATGATCCATCCTTCTCAATCTTATCTTTAGATATTCAATATACTAATTATAAGATAGAAACCTCTTTTCAATTGCTCAGTTTGAGATACTAGCATGGAGACCACAATGCACCTCTCGGCTACACATGGAAGAATCATCAACTGTGGGGAACAGAAAGATTTCTCTTAAGTTGTCTCCCCAAAATATATACCAGACTTAGCTGCTTGAGAATGACTGTTCTTTAGGCAGCGAATTAGGTCAGAGGTTATTCTCCTTAACATCAGCCATCTATAGTGGCTAAGACTATTAGTCTGACTCACCCTAAATAAGACCCACTCCCTTCTGATAAGGATAATGGTGGTCTGTTTACTTGCAGGAGATACCAGAGAGGGCAAACCCTCCCAAGGATGACCAAGGTTAGATAGTCATTATCAGCTGTCTAGATCAAGCAGACACCATTGTTATTCCCACAACGAATGTGGGCACACCCCTAGGTGATTCCCCTCCTACTGATTGTATTGCTTATGTTAATACCCCTCCAGGTGACTCAGGTTATTGTCCGCTATCAGGGAACTTGCATGCCTCCCAGAATGGTAATCGTCTGTTTTATTATATGAGACATCAGAGTGATCAAACTTGTTCTAGAATGAAATGTATTGCCCCTTTCTGTGATGTATGAATCTGTAATCAGATCCCCCTAAAGTGATATGATGCGTGGTTAGCAATAAATAAGGAGGCTCCCTGGTTCTCGAGAGGGTGGCTGGGGAAGGTGACTAAGGAGGATGACGACTGAGCCCCCTACACGAGGACCATCAAGCCTAGCTGAGGTGAGCTATGCTACCATCAATTGCGTCTGACTCCATTACTTGACTCCATCCTTTAACTCTCATGCTCTCTATGACTTTACTATAATCTCTACTTATTATCGCTGTACAATTGCGCCTACCGAACCTGTGATGTTTTGTGGGGTTCCCTCTTCCCCTTAACCCCACAATCAACCCCTTACCAGCCCAAGGCCTATTCCCATGAGGCAGAGGTCAGACAGGCCTCTAACCTCCATCCTTCTTTACCTATTCTGACACCAACTACTCCTCCTGCAGCTCTGATTTCACCACTGGGTTCGATAATGGCCACACAGAACTCATAGACAGCACTCACAATTATGGGGTTTTATTAGGGAAGTTAACAGTTTACCATAAGTCAGGATTAGAAAACATTAAGGATCCATCATCCTTGGTCCACAGTAACACATCTCCTTCCCCAGCAACCAAGTCTTTCTGGTCCTCAAATTCTCGGGCATGTGGTCCCTTACCTCTGCTTCTATGGGTCAGGAAGCCCACCCACAGTGCTGCCTCACCATTTCTGTCTGGGCAATGGGGGTACGTGGGCAGCCCTTTTGCTCTGCTCTGTCCAATGGTCTCTATGCCTTAGCCTCTAGTGCCTCTGGTCTCGGCCTCTGCCACTCCAGGCAGGGGTCTAGGACAGGGTCAGCAAGCTACAGCTCTCCAGTCAGGTGTGGCTCTTTAAGTAGTACATGTGGTGCTGAAGTAAAATTGAAGAATTTTAATCATGATAAATTATGATTATTCAGATAATGATTTCATTTGTAAAAATAGATTTATGGCTCTCAAGTAAATTTTAAATTGTTGTGAGGGACAGGATTGGCTCTTTCATTTCTAAATTCATTGACCCCCGATTTAGAGCAAACTCTGCTAGTGGTTCTTCCTTGATGGCCTCAGTTTTCTGTTCCTGCTTTTAAGATTAAAACAATTTTTTTATTGGCACCTCACCCACACATGACAGGAATGGCAACTAAAACTGACCAAACCCTCTATTTGAACTTCATACACCGTGGTGGGAGTTACAGAGACAAGAGAAACTCACTGCCATTGAGTCAATTCTGACTCTTGGTGATCCTACAGGGCAGCACAGACCTGCCCAAGGCTGTAACTCTTTACTGGACTAGAAAGCCTTACTTTCTCCCAGAGTGGCTGGTGGTTTTGAACTGCTGACCTCCCAGCAGCCCAACGCTTAACCAGTATGGCACCAGGGAATGGACAGAAGAGTCCTATTAAGAAATTTCACATTGCCACAAATGTATTTATTTAGTTTGGCATTATAGCTTCAAATGCCTCACAATCAATTAAATGCCTCACAATTAAGCTGTATTTAATTTAGAGTGGAAAAGTTGCCATATTATTTATCCTAAAAAGGGAGACACTAAGCTAAAATGCTGTGTTTGTATAATCTCAAATTATTAACAGTAAGGAAACACTTTCCTGTTATTTTTTATAAATCATTTTCTTGGGGGTTCTTACAGCTCTTATAATAAACTATACATCAATTTGATCAAGCACATTTGTACATATATTGCCATTATCATTTTCAAAACATTTTTTCTACTTGAGCCCTTTGTATCAGCTCCCCACCCCATCCCCCACCCCTCGTGAACCTTGATAAATTATTTTCATATCTTACTCTATCCGCTCTCTCCCTTCACACACATTTGTCGTTGTTCACTCACCTTGTTGGGGGAGGTGTTATCTCGTGATTCTTGTGATCGATTTCTCCCTTCTCCCTGCCGCCCTTCCACCTACCCTTATGGTATCACTACTCTCATTACTGTTTCAGGGTGGCTTATCTGTCCTGGATTCCGCGTGTGGAGAGCTCTTAACTACCAGTATACATGATCCGGTCTAGCCGGGTTTCTAAGATAGAACTAAGATTGTGATAGTGCGGGGGGGTGGGGGGTGGGGATAAGCATTAAAAAACTAGAGGAATGTTGTATGTTTTGTTGGTGCTATACTGCACTATGGATGACTTGTCCCTTCCTTGTGACCCTTCTGTGATGGGATGTCCAATTGTCTACGGTTTGGCTTTGGTATGATTGTTTGGGGACTTTTGATGCCTGATACTTGATTCTGTCAACACCTCATGATTACACAGGTTGTTCTTCTTCCATATGGGCTTTGTTGCTTCCCTGCTAGATGGCCATTTGTTTTTAACATTTTACATTCAAGCCTTTAAGACCCCAGACGCTGTATCTTTTAATAACTGGGCACCATCAGCTTTCTTCACCACATTTCCTTATGCACCGATTTTGTCTTCAGCGATTGTGTCAGGAAGGTGTCACAGAATGCCAGGTTATTAGAACAAAGTGTTCTTGTGTTGAGGGAGTACTTGAGTAGAGGCCCAATGTCCATCTGCTTCCTTAATACTTAACATAGGTGTACACGGGTCTATATCCTTATCATTATGTATTAATAAATTTACAAATTGTACATGCCTATATTTATACCTCTATAAATGTCCTTTGCCTCCTAGTTTTTTCCTCTATTTCCTTTTACTTTCCTCCTAGGACAATTTTCTTGAGGTGTGATCTGCAACGTTCAGGCATAAAAATATGAGTATATTTGTGACCTGTCAGTCAAGTGTTTAACATGGCAGTTTGTATAGGGCAAGAAACATGATCCTGCTTCAGGTGTATAATAGTAACCATTTTAGAGTTTTTTAAAGTATGACCACCGCTACTTCCTAAAAATTCAAAAGGACTTTGATAGCTTGATCATTTAATTTTTCAAACTAGGGCACTAAGAGTAAAAAAACAAATCAAACCTAGAACAATGCTGCCAATTCTGGTGTATAGCGACCCTATGGGGCAGAGTGGTGTTGCCCCATAGGATTTCCAAGGCTGTGATCTTTTGGCAGGCCAATTTTTTATGCAAATCAATTATAAATTATTTAAATTGGTTTTGAAAAACTGAAGTCAGGTACAAATATATGTGATAGGAAACTTGTTTTGAAGCAAAACATTTTTTTGGTATCTCAGGTATAAATAAGCGTGTTAGATAAGAAAAATGACAAAATTTACATAACATCTGCAATGATATCTATATTAGCCATGCATAGATAGACTATTCTTTCTTTGCTCAGCCATGGTAGCTAAATCGCCTGGCCAGTCACACCCCCTGGGAGTGCCCACGGAAAAAGGCTGACTCTTAAAACAGTAGCCCGAGGATATGCTGTGGCTGACAGGTTGAGACATTTGCTCTTTCCCATTGCTGAGTGTTGTACTCATTTGTTGAGAGCCAGGGTTACTTATGTTAGGATCTTGTCTGTGATGCTGACCAGACTATGGTAACTGGGACTGTCCTGTCTTCCTTTTAACTACCTCATAGGACCAAGAGGCTGTGAATTAGTTTAATGATGTTATTCTACTGGACAAATACTTCTGACATGGAAAGCCACAAGTTAGCGTTAGTTATATATTTTGCAGCGCTCAAAGCACAACTGTCACATTTTACTATCACTAAGCAGTGGTGGGTTCAAGCCACCATTTGTTAACATCTGAGTGATTAAACACTGTGCTACCAGGTTCCTTTCCGAGAGCGATTTCTACTCACAGGGAGCCCATAAGGCAGAGGACCGCTCCCTCAGGCTTCGGAGACTAGGTCTTTCCAGAAGTTGACTGCCTTATCTTTCTTCCAAGGTATGGCTGGTGGGTTTCAATACTTACCTTCTGGGTAGCAGCCCAACTCGTAGCCCACTGCACTATCAGAGCTCCTAAGAGTAAAATGGGACACTCTCTGGGATGCCAGGACAATATGCATAAAGTGGGTCTGCCCTGACGAAACCAGAATGTATGGTCCCATGTATGTCCCAAACAGAGGCAGAAAATAGCAACAGACTCAAGTGAGACCAAAAGCTGTCAGATTCTCTGTTCCATATCCGTTTCAGACACTGGTGTTCCCCCTCTATACTTTAGAAGAACACAACTGGCCATTTTCTTTGGTTGGAATAGGACCATGATAAAGCACTTAAATTTGGAGATTAAAAGTTTTGTTTACAAAAAAAAAAAAAAAAGTTTTGTTTACTTAACTTTAAATACTGACCATATACAACAAATTATTTAAGCATCAGGAAGAAAAATGAGATCCAAAACAAACTTTATTTACATATGTATAAATAATGACATTAGTAACTCCAATACTGAATAATTAAGTTTTGGGTTAATTAGCTGTCCACGCGTCATTTGCCAAGCCTATTTTATGGAAGCAGTATAAAACTACTCAGTTGTTTTTTCATCAGTTCTCTGGTATTCTTGAAGCTTGCAAAAATTCCGAACACTGTAATGCTGCTAGCTGAATGGCAATACAAATGAGATGATGTGATGAGAGTTCAGTCTCTCACCAAAAAAACATTATATCCAAGTTCTGTCAAAGCCCCAGTCAGTAGAGCCCATAAAGGAATGAAGACGTAGGACAAGTTCATGGTAGTAAACTGTTCCAGTTTAGCACAGAGTACAAGGCAGAAGGCTAATTTAAGTAACATTGCAATGAGGTACCAGGCTTTTTTTTTAATATTGTGTGATCCATGTCGAGGGTCAAAGCCAGACTTACACCGCCCAGCCATTTTCACAATCAGCATGACAAGAAGGATGGTATCAAATATCCAGACTGGAATAAATATGAGGAACCAGTTCCAAGGTGCCTTCTCATCCAGTTTCAACACCAACATGATCAAGAAGAGTAATGTGAAAAGCCAGATGAGGAGTACTCTCTGGGCCAAGGACATTCTCATTTAAACAGTTTAAAGAGGCTTGTTGCTGGGTCAGAATGAGGGAAATATACCCTAAGAGAAGGGGAAGGGAAAAAAGTCAAAATTGTTTTGATAACAAGAAAATAAATCACTTTCTAGTGAACAAACCTGGTTCTTTCACATGCCGAGAGTTCCTCATTTTGAAAACCTACCATTCTACCTTCATAAAGCTCTGAAACTTAACCCCATCTTTGACACCATACCCATAATTCTCTTATAGCACAAGATACAACAAAACATATAATGTACCCATAAAGTAAAACCTCAAGAATAATTCATTTCTTTCCATTGCTATCCCTCAGCCTAGGCACTCACTGCCCTCAGGGACATCTTCTTATCTCCCCTTCTGTCACTTTAGCACATACAACTTTCATTCATTTGCTGGTTATACTAAGAAAATGCATTCAAAATGGAAGTAGTGAAAAAGAGGTAGCAAAGACACTGGAAATGCTATTGGTTAAGCCTTATGCTAACCATAAGGTCGGTGGTTCAAATCCAACAACACCGTGGGAGAAAGAGGAGGATGTATGTCCCATCAAGATTTACAGTCTTGGAAATCCTGTAAAAGGTCACTATTATTCAGAATCAACTTGATGCAATAGGTTTGCTTTGGGTATCAAGACAAAAGAGGAGAGAGTTTGAATAAGAGAATGGTTGATAAAACTTGCAAGGACTTCAAACAATTAAGACTGTAAAGAGTTACTTGGACTCGTTAGTATAAATGACATTGATGTAACTGAATTATCCCACAGTTTGAGACTATGGGTGTTATTTTAAAAGTTAATTTCTAATTCTTCCATTACAAGTCACATAAATATATATTTTCTTAGTCTACAACTTTTTCTTTGTACACTTCTCTCACTGTATTATTTTGGTTTGTGGTATGCAACAGAACCAAATCCCCCCTATATATGGTTTCTGAGACTGTACATCACTACAAGAGCAGATAGCCTCCTCTTTCTCCTGTGGGGTAGATGATGGTTTTAACTGTTGACCTAGTGGATAGCAGTACAGCACTTGATTCACAGTATCACCAGGGCTCCTTATATGCCGATAATCAAACCACCTAACTTCTGACATTATTATGTAGTGATCAGACAGCAAATTATTCCATCATTTCTTACATATCTATTTGTCTTACTGACACATTTTTATTTTGTGCTAGTACTATACGACTCTTATTGTTGCTTTAGGATATGTTCTAATATCTGGAAGGTCTAGTACTTACTCTTGGTTTTTACTCATTTTGGCTTTTCATTTTCTTAATACTAAAATTGTTAATCTTTAAAAAAACATACTATTTTGATTGAGAATGCATTAAATATAAAGCTTAAGACTAAACATTTATTATATTTAATCTTCTCATATAGGTTTACATATGTTTCTATTCACTAACTTGTGAGCCTTTGGATTAAGGTTGGGTAGAAAGAAATGAGAAGACAGATGGAATGCTTGGGGATAAAGGGTTAGCAGAAGATATCAACAGTTGAGAACTTGTTATTCCCTTGAGCCATTTGGAGAAGATGAACAATAAGACATGAGAACCAGGAAAGGAACAGGGGATGGAAACTCAGAAAAGGAGGATGAGAAGTATGATTGAGTGTACATAAACCAGTCACTGGGGGGATAAGCTGACCATGAGAGGGTATTTGACGGATCAAAAAAGATGAGAAGATGGCAGATGGGAACAAAAGCACAAGGAGAGAATACCCGCTGTCATAGGAATAAACATGTAGGAAAAGAAAGGTGAAGAGCTAACTGTAGTCACAGTCAGTCAATTCTAACTCTTTAGTGTCCCTACGATCTCTGTCCCAATGGACATTCTGAGGACGTTGATATTAGCAGCCCAATGCATAAAACACCAAGCCACAAGGCCTTCTCTGCCAAGGACTAAGAAAACCAAATGCTCTAGACTAGTGTGCCCAAAGGATTATAGTTCAGCACTAATTTGTACTCTGCACATTTCTACTATTTCAGTGGCTAACTATCATATCATGTTGCAATATACGTTTTATGTCAATACCTCATGTGATTAAATGAGACTATTAACTCAGTCTGCCCTACTCCCTAGGCCCCCCTTCCACATGTACTGCTGCACACTGCAGTGCTTGTGTTCCCAGGAAGGCATTTTCTGTGTTGGTTCCTTTCCTGGCCAGAGGACTTGTTTCAGAGACATAGTAGGGAGGTGGCCACAATAGGGAAGTGAGACAGAATTGGGAGGAGGGTGTGTGTGCTGATTAATGGATTTTATCTGTAAAGTGAGTTGGGAAGCAGGAGTGTATGCTGATTAATGAGTTTCAGCTGTAAATTGAGTTTGTGGTCCTGAAATCCCATTTATCTGTTTTTTTTGTTTGTTTTGTGAAAGTTTTATTAAAAGGTTAATGATACAATTATTAAAAATAGTATTTCCATCTGGCATCAGATGAGTCAGGCGGCAAGTAGCCATACAAAGGGTGGATGCATTCACTGCAGGTACCTAGGATGGACTGTGAACAGATGCCAAGAATGGTCTTATGGCAGCTACAAACTTCGTACGGTAGAACGCAACCAAGTTCTGTCTGCACCCAGGTAAATCCGGCTGTTAATGGGGGGCACTCTGCTGACATTAGAAACATGCTTGAAGAGAGGGATGATGAGCTACAATTAAGGTATTGAAGCCAGCAATTTCACACATCTTCATTCATCTCAGCAAATGAGCTCGTTCCCCCCTCCTAACTCTCCTCAAAGGAACACTCACCAAACTCACTGCCATCCAGTCAATTCTGACTCACAGCAACTCTACAGGGCAGGCTAGAACTGGCTCTGTGGATTTCTGAGGCTGTGCCTGGGTGACACAGTGGTTATGTGTTGGGCTGCTACTTACTGTAAGGTCAGCAGTTCAATATAACCACTCATTCCATGGGAGAAAGATGGGCCTTTCTACTCCTGTAATGACTTCCAATCCTCGAAACTCAACAGTTCTACCCTGTTCTGTAGGTTCACGATGAGTTGGATGAGGGTCAGTGAGTCTGGTTTGGTTTTGGTATCTGTTCCTGTAAAGAATTAATCTCAGGAACCTACCGGGGCACTTCTACCCAGGTTGCTATGAGTCAGCAGTGAGTGAGTGTACATCTGTGTGGATGCAGCAAGCCTCATCTTTTGTCCATGGTTGGTGGTTTCCATCTGCTGACCTTGAGGTTAGCAGCTTAATGGCAAGGGTGTTGCTAAGTCCCCCAACCAAAAATATACTCAACTGAAAGATTTCCCCTTTAAGGTGGTTATCTGGAAGGTAGGTCAAGTGTTTGTTCACCAGCTTCGGAACCGTATCCGGTGGAAATCTGGAGTCTGCTCACAGCACCTGTATCACCTTGGATAAACGGTGAATTCCGTTCCCGTGTTTCTCCTGCCGAGGTCGGCTCTCCTCTGAGGCAACCCTGGCCACCATTCCGGCGATGCCCTTTCCCAACTAAGCAGTCTTGACAGAGACAGTGTTCTGGGGACAACTTATCCCATTCGAGCATACTTGTCACTAGGACTTGAATTCAACTCACTGCCATCCAGTCAACTCCGACTCTTGGCAACCCTACAGGACAGGGTAAAACTGCCACTGGGTTTCCGAGACTGTCATTCGTTACTAGGACAGAAAGCCTCATCTTTCTTTCCCCGGAGCGGTTGGGGGTTTCGAACTGCTGACCTTGTAGTTAGCAGCCCAATTCGTAACCATTACTATACCACTATGGCTTCAGGATGCTACTATACTGTCTTCCTAGTCTTTCTTTTGCAACCTCCGATGGTCCCCTCCACACGCGGACTCCCCCCATTCTCAGCTGGGGCCCCGGTAAGTTTTAGGCGCTGAAAGCGGCTCTACCAGCACACGATCCACGGCGTACACTGATGTCCAGCTGCCGCGCAGGTGTGTGAGGCCAAGGGGGTGTCGGGGGCCAGCGCCCGGCCTCGAACGAGCTAGTGTATTTCGGGGGTTGCCCGTCCGTCGAAGCCCCGGACTCACCTCACAGAACCGCCGGCCGGAATGCGGAGAGGGCCGCGAAGATGATGAGATTCGCCAGTTCGGGTCCACGGCCTTTTCCACACTTTGCTCCCCCCCATTAAATCCAGAACCCGTCACATGATAAAATTCAGAAAAAGATTCAGTTCCGCCGCACCCGACAAGTGCAGACGTTCTCTCAGTCCTTCTACCTCGGGGCCACGCCCACATCCGGGGCAGTTTGTCGCCGCCCCTGGGCCTTCCCCATAGGCAAGAAGCACGCCAATCTGAGCTCAGAGACCCCGTTCCCCGCGGTGATTGGAGAATTTGGCCGCCAGTGCCAACCAACCAACCTTTCCTTACCTTCAGATTCGACAAAAAGACAGCAGTAAAAGACACCGCCCCAGGCCCACCTCCCCACGGCCATTGGTTAGCAGGAAAGTCAGTCTAACCGCAGTCAGGATTTCCCGTAGTTTCGTTGGGCCCTTAGATGCCGAGAGGACCAGTCAGCGCTCGGCTCCGCCCCCCGCGGCGCGCCCCGCCCCTCTCGCCCTCCCTGTCAGAGGGAGGCGGGGCGAAGCAGCCTCGGCGCAAAATCCTGCGGGAGAGGGGGTGGGACGACGCCTCTGGAGGCAGCGCGCCCGCCGGCAGCGTCCTGTGGTTCCTCTGCTCTCGCGGCTGCCGCGGCGCCCACTTCGGTGTCTCCCGCGCGCACCCCGGCCGCTTCCTAGCGGCGCGGCGCCCGCTCTTACGGTAAGAGCGGCATCACCTCCGCGCTCGGCCGGCCGCGTGGAGGTCGTTGGGTGCTGACAGAACCCCTAGAATGGACTGAACTGGACGTGGGAGAAGAACAGCCGGCGGGATGGAGGTGGGACAGCTCCGGGGCCAACGCAGCGCCATCCGCCGTCGCTGACTTACGCGGCCGCCACCGGCACCTGCGGGCCGGGGTCGGGGTCACTGGCGGCCCCCCGGCATCTTCTGGCCGGAGGCGGAGGCTTAGCCTCGTTCCTCCCGCGCCCGCGCTGTCCTCCAGCGTTGAGGGTGACGGGCCAAAGCCCCGAGCCGCCGCCCGCCCGCCCGCCGGGCTGCCTCCGCCCCCTCCCTCGGCCCCTCGCCTTCTCCTTCCTTCCCTTGGCGCTGCGCTGGGGCGTCGGGGTCCGTGGGGGGGCTGTGCCTGGGTGACGGCGCGGGGTGGAGAGAGGTCAGCTCGCGGCCGGAGCTGCGGGCTCGAGAGGAGGCTCCGCGCTCCGGACGCAGGATGGGAAGGGGGTCCCTATCCTGCCCCGGCGCAGCCGGCAACAGTTTAGTTTTCTGATTTCCACCCCGGCTGCAGAGAGGGTGCTGAAAAGCCTGCGCACCGGCCTGGAGCGCCCTTTCCAGCCTGCTCCTTCATCTTTCCTTATAATTTCTCGGCTTGCTATTGACAACCAGCCTTCTGGTATTGTTCTTTTCGCCTCTTTGGCTTTCAAACTCAACACCTCCAGGTATAACTTCAGGGATCGTCTTCTCATTCGTATATCTTTTTATTTTTAGCCTAGCAAAACAAAGACCTACTTTATATTAACATAGACCGGCTTAGGGAAGTACAGAAGCTGGAAGCATTTATTCATCGCAGTATGTACTTTACATTCCGAGTAGCTTTTAAACCGCTGTGGATGTGTAGTGATTTACACTTACTCTCATGAAGGTGGTATGTATGTACCCTGCTTATGTTGAGATGATTTTGTTGTCTGGTACTTTGGCAAACGCCAACTAGATATTTAATAATATGTCTTCTCCCCACCCCTAGACTTGACCTGTAGACTTTATTTTAAGGGTTATGAATTTTTTTTATGTTTGAAAGCTGTAGTTAGGTATGAATATGTATTTTTTAAATCTCAAAAGGGAGGATTCTGGTAGCCCTGCGTTTTAACCGAAAGAGCTGTAAAATAGTATAACAATTTGAAATCCTGACATTTTGGAGTAAGAACTGGGAAGTTTTTGAGAAGGAGGTGGGTCCCCCTTGCTGCTTGTGGTAGCTCAGCCTTCTGCTAAGAGCACAGGGAAGGAGTCAGAGGTCCCCGGACAATGAGCCAGGTCTGGGACCAGAAACAAGGAACAGTTCCAGGAACAGTTCTTGCTCAGAAAATAGCCAGCTTGCACATGGGTTACTTGTCTGCAGGCATTAAGTCAGATGTTAGGATGATTGGATGTGTTGTGTTCTAGTTTTAACGAACACTTATGGTAACGCAGAACCCTCAAATGCTCTGCCAGAGAGCCAATTCCAACTCATAGCAACTCTGTAAGGCAGGCTAGAACCGCCTCTGTGGGTTTCTGAGATTATAACTCTTTATGGCAATAGAAATCCTTGCATTTCTCCCACAGAAAGTGGGTGGTGATGTTGAACTACTTACATTGAGGTTAGCAGCCCAACTAATGACCACTACGCCACCAGGGCTCTCCTTGGTAGGACAAAAATATGAGAGAGCAATATGGTAGAGAGTCGCATGTGCAGCTCGTCCTCCCAGAGTAGCTCCCTTCTTTTGAGCCCAAATTGGCACTGGGCGGTTGACTTAAAAAATGAAGGAGGTCGGTTTGAACCATTTTAAAATCCTGAACTCTTTGACTAGTTCATTTAATGAAAACTTGTAATGAATTTTTAATGAAAAGGGGCTCATTAGAGTGAGCTAAAGGGAATCCAGGGTAACTCTGGGGCAGGAAATAAGGATCGGAAAGAGTTACATTGGTTCTATATTAGCTCATTTAATGGTGATAATCCTTATGAGGTAGGTGCCCCCCGGAATCATCCCAGTTTTATAGGTGGATTACGTTAACGCATCTGTCTACAGTTTCTCAGTTTAGGAAGTCAGCACAGGCAGAACTTACTCCCAAGAAATTTGATCCTAAGACCTTTTATTCCAATATGTTATACTTCGCCACCAGCTATAAAATTGGCTTCTGAGACATTTGCTACAGGCAGATTGATCAGTTGGAAATAATGCTGCAAAGCTCTAAGTGAATACTCAATAACATATTGACCTCAGGCATAAAAGACACTGTGTTGAGTGTTGGGAATGTAGGGATGGACTTAGGTTCCTTTCTTTGAGGAACCTCTGTTTAATGGGAGAGAGATTAGAACAATGATGAAAATACCACATATACTATGAGAGTGCTATACAATCTGCTTTTGTGGGAGAGAATTCACTTAATATTTATGCAATAGATTTCAAAGTTTATTTGGCCTACTGCCCTCTTTTCATGAAAACAAAACAAAACAACAACTACTGCTTCTCCGGCAATTAAAAACTTTTGTACTATAGTCTATAATCCAGGATAAAGTAGGTAGGTAGCTGATATTGCAGTACATCCACCTCTGCCCCCACCAGTCCAGTGCCCCCTAGGGGGCGGTATTGCCTACTTTGGGAGCCACTGATGAATACAGACCAGTTTTTTTTTTTTTTTAAGATTTAAATCTTTTATGCATTTTTTGTAAAGCAGTAAAAAATTTTGTTATATCTTTTTTACAAAATAATACATTTTAAAGAGTGCACTTTAGCTACTTTAAAAAAATAACTATTAGCAATTGGGTTTTCATGATACAATAACAGTTTGTATATAATTTCAGAGTATGTAGAGCATTTAATACATTTTAAACATTTTTTTTTCATTGTAAACATTTTTATATGTTATAAAATACCTCACCTCTGAAAGTCTCCCAAACGACCTTACTTAGTCTGTTACTTTCTGGAAGAGTTGTTGCTGGAAATCCATAAATCTCTTGCTTTGAAAAATAGTACATCCTGCAAGTGATGCACCGTCTTGAAAATGTTTTTATTAAAAATAAATCATTTTATTGGGGGCTTTTATATCTCTTATAACAGTCCATACATAGTTGTATCAAGCACCTTCATCATTTTCAAAATAGTTTCTTTCTGTTTGAGCCCTTGGTATCAGCTCCTCTTTTTCCCCTTCCCTCTTCCACCCTTCCACCCTCATGGACCCCCTAATAAATGATTATTATTTTCATATCTTACACCACCTGCTGTCTCCCTTCACCCACGTTTCTGTTGTCTCCCTGGGTAGGGAGGGGCAGAGCTGCTTTTTGACTTTAAACATGATACCACATCTCTTACAACTTCAATTTCCTTGTCTGTTAACCAGTATTGAACGTTAAGCAAGTAATACAAGGGTCTTCAAAAATTTTGCAGAGAAATTCCAGTATCTTTTCATTCCATATTCCAGGAACGTTTAGAAGCCCCAGTTACTGTTAGAACATATATAAGTCCTGGATTTGAAAGAAATAGTTATTTTGTTTAAAGAAGGGGTTGAGATGTTCTAAGGGGGATGTCACTGGAGCTTTAAAGGAGGAGTGTGAGTTTACCAGGTTGGAGGAAAGGGACATTCCTTTCCTTAGTGTGGCAAGAGACAGGGTCTCACTCAGATCGGAACTCTGGATTGTAATAGGGGATGGCAAGTAATTGTACTTGAGAAGGCCACTCTTACTGGTAATTGTATTACAGATGTGTCTGGCTCAAGTGAGTACTACCCAATTTTGGTGGTTGGAAATAACAGATTTAGATAATAAAATTATAGGAAAACTTCAATAGATGATGCCTTGTGACATTTTATTTAATACTCGTATTTACCTTCTAATGCTTATTCCCCCAGTGCAAATAGAACTTTTTTCCAACATGTAAGGTTAGGCAACTATTATCTCATTCACCTGGTTTGTTTTACTGTTGTAAATGAAGACTAACACTACTAGAGGTGCTGCACCTAATTTGTGGAAGATTTGGGGATATTATTTTAAGTAAAGTACTTTAATATGATTATTGGCTGTTCTTTGTCCTCTTAACCCTTTGACCTATCCTGGGGGCCTCATAGAGTCAGTTTTGCAGGCTACTATTTACGTACGTTAACTGTCCTGAATTTAAACATTGGATTTACTATGAGACAATGTTTTAAATCAGTACTGCCATTAAAAATCTGAAATAAACTCCATATTTATATCTTCCTCTCAGGTTGGAACAGAAACATAAATACATTTTATTTATAAATGTTGAACATCACTGGACTCCTATGACTAAGTGGAAGATACTAAGTGACATCTAGGAGAGTTGCATTTTTATCCCAGTTTGTTTTCCTCCTATAAATTGCTAAAATAACACAAGATATAGAGATGAATTTTCAGATTTAAAAAATGTTTAAACAGCATTTTTTAGAGTGCTAGGAAAGTAGATACTGGGCTACATTCTGAGTAGTGAACAGGAACTAGAGCAGGAAATGGCTGTGGCTGAACCACTACCTGATAATAATCACAGCATGATTAAATTTGACATTTAATGAAGGGAAGTAAAGAGAGAAAGTGCACATGATGCATCTTTCCAATTTCAGAAACAGCAGAGGAGAGGAGCTGCTGCAAGTATACCTACAGACATTTTGTGGATTATGTAGCAGGCAGTTGAATGGAGCACCTTATAAATGTTGCAAATGTGCGATCGATGTATGAAAGTTAGGTGGTATACGTTTGGGTGCTCTGTAGACCTTGGTTCAAATCCCATTCTGCCATCTACCAAGTTGCCTGGCATTGGACTAATTATGTGATCTTTCTGAGGTTTGTTGTCCTTCTTCATAAAATGATCATACTACAGTCATCCTTGAGCATCCACGGGGGATTGGTTCCAGGATTCCTGTGGATTCCAAAATCTGAAGATGTTCAAGTTCCTTATATAAAATGACACATTTACATAGAATGTATGCACAGTCTTCTCTTTTACTTTAAATCATCTCTAGAATGCTTTTAATGCCTGCTGTAGTTCCTAATGCAATGAAGATAACATTTTCTGCTCTTTTGAGGGAACCCTGATTGTGTAGTGGTTACACAAGGAG